AGTAACGTTTTATGAAAATTCATATTAATATCTATGTAAATATGAAAAATGATTCAAAATGAAATGTGTTAACTTTTGAAAATTGACTTGGAGATAGGCGGGAGAACAATGCTATCGTTCGCAGTTCTTCATTCCTTAATTGGCTTCTTGACAAAACATTTTACTTTGGCCATAACTTTTGCTCAAGATGAGACAGGACTTTCTTATTTTTTCATCTTGTGTCAGGATCACAATATCTTACCTTTTGACCTTCACCTTAACGTTTGATTCAGTTTTCAGAAACATTTATATTTGTTGTAACTTTTATTAATTTTATTTAAGATTTTAAATTTTTTAAATCTTTTTTTGAATGATGGATAGTCGAGACAGTTACATTTTGCTATAAATAAATGCATCCCAACCAATAAGACACCCAAGGGGTTTCTATGAAAAAAGCACTTTGATAACTAGTAGACTAATTAGTCAAAGAACAATTAATTTAAGAGGTCTTTCCACCTTATTTAAATTTCAGTTATTTTTCAGATTTTAACTCTTTACAATTAAATTCCATGAAAAGGAAACTAGAAATTGCTTGGAAAAAACAAAAATATTTAAAGAAATTGAAATGACCTTGATCTTTGACCTTGAGCAAATATTCAAGGTCAAGGTTTTTTTGCAGTTAGTCCCATGTTTGACTTTTAGTTTTAAGGTAGGTCGCAGGTTTACCGCTTAAAAAAAATTCTTACGAGAAAACATATCCTAAAAATTTGATATAATGTTCCTTAGAATTTATAGCATTTTATCTGTAATTTTTATTAAATTTGTCTACGTAGTTTTAATGCTGTATTACTGTTAATGCAGTATAGTTTTTAGTACTATTTTTACGCTTTACTATTGAAATATATACAATAATGACGTTTTTATGCCAATTTTGCGGAAAGAGTTTCTTTAAAAAAGGTTGGATAACTTTTTAAAGACATAGACAAATTAGTCAGGAATTTCAAAATATCCAGAAGAGGTAAAATGTACTCGACACTTGTAAATTCTTGTCATATAGGTCTGATAATCCGGATGTTCGTTTAAATTTATTTTTTAAATGCATTTCACAATTTGTTATCCTGCATATACATAGCGACTACATGAGATTCAAATACAAAATAAACAAATGATAATTATGATGATTGAAATAATAATAAATAACAGGAAAATACATGTAAAGAATGAGTGCACTTAAGAGTGTCATTTGGAACCATTTCGGCTACCCATTTTAAGCCTTGAATTAGACTATATTGCTGAATTAATCTATGATTATTGTGCATACATATGCGTTTGATATTTATACTTTGATTTTTTTGTTAAACATATTTCTATAATTCCACATAACGTCATTGAAAATAACATGTATAAGCCTTAAATTCCGGAAATTTGAACTGGACCACTTTCGAATTTTAGGTACCCGCAAATGGGCGGAGATATTTAAATCACATAGAATTAAAATATAAACAATTGCACATTATTTCAAGATTGATTCCACAGTATGAATTTAAATGGAGGAGAGAGAGATTGTGTAGTTTCATGATTCACACAAAAAATAAATGATTCATGGCCATACATATTGACCATTCATGATTCGTATCCATGAATATGCTGCCTAGCAAAATCTTTAAAAAAATGCCCCCCCCCCCTCCTTTTTTTAATTTAGCTTTATCATTTTTGTTTTATATGCTGAATGCTTTTCAATTCAAAGAATGAATGTATGTATTTGGAAAGATTCACATTTACATGATTTCGATGTCACACTACGTTTAATCGTAATTCACTGTACATGTAATACGTAGTACTCACGGTGATACATATTTTATTATATGCATGTATAGATAACCAACATTCGGAAATGAAATATAAAATTTTAACTAAAAATTTGAGTTGCTAGATTAACAAGAAAATTCCAAGAAATACAAACTATCTGTAAAGATTATGCACTTTATGTAATGCTATTGATGATGAATTTCATTTCTTTTTACAATGTAATTGTAATATACAAGCAAGGAATATACTTATAAAAACCATGCTAGATAATTTTGGTTCCTCATTCTATCTCAAATCACCCATACAGAAACTTGAATATATATTTATTCCAACACTTGAAGTTTATACCAGCTGTTTGCACTTTTTTTTTTAATTAAAACAATCATTAGAATTAAGAAATAAAAGGTCCACATCAGTGTATCATATATTGAGTAAATTACTTAAATTATGCCTATTGTTTATAAACATTCATTGTTCTCTGATTTTTTTTAAATTTTGTATTGTATTGCTTGACCCATATGGGTGTATTATGCAATAAAGAAATTATAAATGTAATTTAAAATTAACATTTTATTGACGGAACAAGTATATTCGATATTTAAAACCATGGTCAAAGAAAATTCTACAACGTTACTATGTTGATAATCACCCGCTTATGTCTTCAATATCAGTTTCATTTCGGCAATCCAAATATTGTCATGTATGATATAGTGTTTAGGGATGTGTATGTAGATGCCTGCAGACCATAATACGGAAGCGACATGAGCTAGCACAGCTACCTACAAATCGTGCATCTGATTTGCACTGGCAATACCAGAATTTCCTTCAAAATTCAAAATGAAAAACACAATTTAGTGAAAAAAGACAAGGTAAACTTTAAGACCCTAATAAAATTTTCGCAAAATTCTTCAATATTTTGAAGCCAGTACACATGGCGAGATTTGTGATATTATGCAAGTATTATATTTGTATTATTATACTTTCCTGTACCCACGCTTATACATATCTTATTAGATTGTTAATAGACTTTAGTTATTTTCTACGTGTTTCCCTCGCAATCTCTCTCTCTCTCTCTCAATAATGGAAAACGAGGTTCCGTCAGCAGTATCTATTATAGTATTATGCACTGCATTAAAACTGAAAAGACCATCACAATGGAAACATGCAACTGCGGAACACTTGTACATGTACTTGGTGCACATAATGCATCGCTAGATGAGGTGCAAAGAGAAGACTCCAGAAGTTATAAAAACTTCTTTAGAATAGATAATGCAGCATTTGAGCAATTTTTACAATTACATGTAGTTACTCCTTTTGATCTCCTTCCCATAAAACATGAGTTTACTGCTAAAGTCGACCATTATTTACCATGTGCTTTTTTGTTATGATAAAAATAGGATGACCCCAATGTGAGTACTTTTGATTGGTTTAAAAATGAAAGGTCAGTTAAGACTTGTATAAGAAATAGAGCATTGCCCTATTCTTAATACAGACAGTTTTATAAGATTCAAAATATCTTATGATTTACTGTATTAAAAGTCTATACATAGTAAGATTTTGTACTTAAATACTAGCACATATCCGTGTGTACAGCCCTCGATTGACAATCACAATGAAAGCATATCGAACAGTGGAATGTCACGTGAGTAAAGTGATTATAATATCAAACGGTTGACACTCGGTAACCTGCTAATTTAGTAGCTAACTCGACCGAAGTTTGGAGAATTTTTCAAAAAATTACATATGAGCCGCAAAATGTCCAACATTGCCCTTTGGATATAAGTTTAGATCAAAATACACATTCTGTGCAAATGAGACGAATGGACAAGTTGCAGCTCGATGTAAACAATATCGTTGAAAACTGGTATGCATATGAATAACAATAGAAATGTGACAAAACTGCTAGACCCCCTCACAAAAACCAGTGTCGCTTGGCATTATTTAATATTTCCATGTGATATGATATATCAAATCCTGCTCTTAAGATATTGTTTAATAATTCTAATTCAAAAAGTTTATAAATTTCGGAAATTAATTTTTGGCAAAGCACCGGGACCCAACTCTCATAGCTTAAGTGCACTGATCCTTTCATCCGTTTTTACTGCTGAGGATTGATTCCATCATGGAAAAGTTTCGCCCCGGCAAACATGGTGTAATATGCACTTCCCTTTGAAGTGCAAATTATGTGCACACATACAACCTTTCAAGTTTGTTGGCTAAGAAATTTATGATAATTTTCTTTTTACATACCATAACTTTTACGCTGACTCATTTTGATTGACTTTAAGCAGTTAAGTAACACTTACAATATAAATTATTCCTTTCATTTGGTATCGTATTTAGTTTGTTCTTAGACATTACACATACTCACATCAGAATTCAGACTGTCATTTAATACCCGATCTTTGAATTACACTTTGAATTAATCTACTTGATTTGTACCTGTAGACTATTTATGAAGTTATTTTTGGCACTGAATAGCTCAGAGCTTTCATGAAGTTAGTCGAAGACATTGGTGATGGTTTGGTATCTCTATGGTTTATGGTTTCCAAGGAGCAGCTATAACAAGCTTTTATTGCAAGAGGTGTAATAACTCCTCAAGGGGATATATGTTCATATATGCAGGGTCAAGGGAAAAAAATCTTTTAAGGAGTACATTCTCATGAAGTATATAGATCTTTTCCATGATTCTTGGAACTCAAAAATACACTTAGCAGAAAAATAATAATAATAAACAGAACAATTTCAATAGGTCTTTCCACAGGAATGTGGAAAGACCTAATTATAGTGTATGTATATCAGTTCATCTAAGATATGAGGGTTGTCCGAAAAGTTCTTAGTCAATCTTGATAATAACTGATAAACATTGGTAAAATATATGAAACTATTATTTTCATTAAATTCATATTTCATTTCATTAATATGCAAGTTTTCATCACAAATAAAGCACTAAATATATTTTAACAGATACAAAAAAAGACACACACTCATACCCTTAGCACTAAAATGAAAATTCTTGACGTTACCCAAAGTCAAAATCTAAATACATTTAACTTTTCTCAACATAGTCACTGTTTTACTCAACACATTTCTTATGTCCCTTTAACAGTCATAAAACATGTGCACAAACTGTTCTGGTTTCATACGTGAAATAATATTTAACACTTCCTGTCTCAGATCCTGCAATTCATTATACCTCTGTCCGTGTAAAAATGACTATGTATGGAAGTAGAACTGTTAGTCGCCAATCACTGTCAATCACGTCGCGAACTTCTTCCATCCAAATTTTCGCAGAATTTTACAAAATACAAATGAATTGTATAAAGTGATAAATAACTTTTTAATTAAATTTTGCCGTGCTCTGGGTCACCATCTAAGGTCATGTCTAATAATGAAGTCATAATGTAATTATATAATACATTTAAAATTGAATAAAATTTTACATTTTGTAATTCTCATATAGTAAAGGATTATTAATATGCTAATAATAAATATCTATAACACAACTTTTATTTCAACCTTGTCCACGAACTTTACGAACAACCCTCGTACATACAGGAATTCATTATGAGCAAGTGTTACTTTTAAAATCTCTTTTTTCTCAAAATAGCATCTACTTACATCATATGATGTTCTTATGGGAGCGTATAACCAGGGAAGATCCCACTGGATTCTTGTGGTAAGTGTAAATTTCTTTGTTTTGATGAGCAATTAATGGTGCCTGTCCCAAAATTTTGAATTTCATGGCCCATGGGTCAGGTGTTACATGTTAGGCAGCACTATTGATTTTATAGTGAAAATATTTTATTACTTGGAAAATCTTCTTTTCTGCACCTGATTATTAAGTAAACAAACTAATTGCATGATAATGATGAGCATTATGGATGTCTTTTCCAAAATTGTGATATTCAAGACACCTAAGTAATGGCCGGTTCTGGCCCGGGGATCATGAAACATCTTAAGCTTAAGTCAAAATCTTTATTCTTTACTGAAAAATATTGTAGAAGTCAATCAGTCCAAAATTATAACATTTTTCAATATTGTGTCACAAAAGGTTTGATATCTGCAAATTTAGAGATTAATAAACAATTGACAGGCAAATGAAAATTTGACTTAAGTCTAAGTCTGTTTCATGATCCTGAGGCCTGGTGTTAGGTTGGGACTTAATTGATTATAAAGTGAAAATGCCTCAATTCTTTGAAAATTTCTCTTCTGGACATATTTTCTTCTATTAGTTTCTTTTGATTTATTTTTTACTTCTTTGGATTCTTTAGTCTAAGAGTGTTTTATAATAATATTCATGTGACCACTAACTGCTAGTTAGGCCTTTGGGCCTCTTCTTCATTGAATACATTGTAAAGGTAACACTGAAAGTCTAAATCAGTATTTTGATACTTTTCAATTACCAATGCCTTCATCTTCACAACTTATTTTGAATGGATACAATTAATAATCTTACTTACAACCAAAATGTTGCAAGATTTAAAACCATGCATGAATTTTTTACAAGAAAAGTGAATTTGTAACAAAAGATGATACTTTAATTTGTAAGTAATTAGATTATTTTATTATACCTCTATTAAGAATACTTAAATTTGATTGGCTTGTTAGAAGGCTTTTAAACTTAATAATGACTCCAAAAAGTACCGATTACAGCAATAATGACCTAGGAATCGTTGCACGTGGGGTATTATGACCCGGTCATTATAAATAAAATCCCATTAAAATTTAAAAATTAATGCATACAGAACGACTGTTCATTACAAAAAATGCCGTTATAAAAATATGTATAGTCTTTTTATGATACCTATATGATTGTCCTTTAGATGCATCATAAAATTTATCGTTTTCATTGAAACTTTCATTGTACAATGTGAAATTCAACGAATGCAGACATGGCTCTTTTGTACAGTATAAGTCTGCACCAGATTGTTTTTGTACTTGCAAATGGTATTTGTGAATTTATAAAAATGCATCTTACTGACAATCACAGAGTGTTTTTATAAATCGGTGGTGCAAAAACTTACAAGACTTGCAGGCGAAAAGTAAACAACTTCACTAGCGAATCCCAATTCCGATGAAACACTGATAATAACAGTTCGTAGGTTTAATACACACTTGATTATTTTAGTAATTAAGCCTACAAAAATTCTCTTAACTTATATTGGTATAATAAAACAATTGATTACCCCTTATGAGTTCAAGATGGTGAAATAAGGACCCTTGACCTGGCCCACGAGGTGACCTGACCTGACCGAGGCCACGTAGCGGCTGAGGTCAGGTCAGGTAACCTCGTGGGCCAGATCAAGGGTCCTTATTTCACCATGTTGGCATCATAAGGGGTAATTAATTGTATAATGAAACAGTTCATTAAAATTCATTTGACTTGTATATTCCTAAATGACTCAAATAAAGCAAATTTATGTTTACACAAGGCCTTGACATGTGATTTAGTGAGTCAGACACACCTCAGGATAAAACAAAATCTTTTCCACATGCAATTTACTCACATTTTTGAAATGGAGACATGGTGCTTTGTAGCAGTTGATCTATAAATTAATGAATCTCAAGCAATATTTGGAGTACCAATAATAAGGAGATAATTTGTAGGTTTTGAATTCAAATTTACAGGTTATATAACCTTGTTTCCCAAAACTCCCATATTTTCTTAACAATTTGTTGGTTATGTAAGAATTCTAATTTTAATTCTGTTGGAACAACCTGTGATTAAATATTAACTTTGATTTCTTAACTGTGAGTCCTAAGCATAGAAAGTATCAAGTTCCTTGATTTGCAACTATTTTTTTGACATTTTACAGGTGCTAGAACCATCCAAAGGAAACTTCTATTATATTGACCCATTTGGACACAAAGAGAAGCAAGCATCAAAAGCTCTGCATAATTGGAGGTAATACCCCCCTCCCTCCTTGAAAAAAATTGAAGCACTGATACAGTACTGAAAGATGGGGTCAAAATAATTAATTTCATGATTTTACAAATTCATTGCTTTATAGTGAAAATTTTTTTAAGGGTTTTGATACAACTTAAAACTTTTTTATACATTTGATATTATGATCATAAAATATATGTTGGAAAAAATTAAAATAAAAAAAGTAAAAAAATATACCTTCACGTTTTAAATTCACTCTATTACATAGATTAATCAGTAATTACTGGTAATTAAGAAACCTATTTGAATTGTCTGAATTTCAACGGGTCCAAATTAATATAACATTTCTGGAAGTAAACAATTGATGACACATACGCATTCTAATATTAAGCAGCTGAGTAGTTTGTATACTAGTGTGGTTCAATATTAAATTTTCCATGTTTAAAATTTTCGAATTGTTTCTCTAATTTGAGTAAGAAAATCTTCATATTACTGTCTTTAGTTTGATCCGTCGTGTTTGTATTTTGATTAACACAATTTCTGCACTCTTTTAGTTAACGTAGATTTAATATCGTGTTCTACGCACAGCTTCTGTTTTGAGTCCTTAACTAACAGTTAACTAATAGACATGCAGGGTCATGTGACCCCGTCTAAAAAACAAAACAAAAAAAAACAACAACATAGTATATTTTGATAAAGAATAATGTTCGTGATATTAATTTTAATTAAGGATCAGCCAAATATAAATTTTGAAAGGATCAATAGAAAGCAAATTCAAGCATTTTCAGTTTTTGGTACATTAAGAAATTTGTAGTGTTTGTAATTCATTTGCTTGATCATTTTGAATTCAATAAAGTTAATTTGTTTTATAATCTATAAATAAAAGGAATGTTTCCATTATGCACACATGTGCTAAACAGGAATTTGTCAAGGTAAGATTTATTTACCTTAAATGCTATAGTTAGTAAATAGGGAGAGAATAGGAATTAAAATAAAACAAGGGCACCCTGAAGCGGAGCATCCCTTTGCAAAGAGCATATCTATAATAAAGGCAGCATTCAACATCAATCCTGATGCAAATAATGTCACTTCCGTTTTGCACAGGACTAACTAACACACACACAATTGCGTTACTATATCCCCTCCAACTCTGTTGTAAGGGGTTAACAGTTGTATGATATGATGATGACTTTAACTTTTCAATCGTCAACTTCCCTTACTTATGCAGCAATATACCTTCATCACCTGCATACGGGGTTTATATCTCTTAGTTGATTCGATACGCAAGAGCATGTACTACGTAATATGTATAATTTCTAAAATGAGGTAAATTATTGACAAACGAGTTGATGGAACAAGAATATCAGCAGTCTCCTTTAAAGTCATCATTTTGTAAGTTCTATGGGCAATACAATGACCTTGTCAGCAAATACAATTTATCATAGAGTCAAATGCTAGCTGACTGACTTTTTTTTATACTAATTGTTAGGCCATTATTTACACACCGAATTGTCTACAGATTTTTTCGTTATTTCCCGATCATGACAATTAAGGAGCACACGACGGGTGTGACTGGTTGGCAGGGGATGCTCACTCCTCCATGGCACCTGATCCCACCTCTGATGTTTTGGAGGTCCGTGTTTGCTCTGCTCCTATCATTTTGTAAGTTCTATGGTCAATACAATGACCTTGTCAGCAAATACAATTTATCATAGAGTCAAATGCTAGCTGAATGACTTTTTTTCATACTAATTGTTAGGCCATTATTTACACACCGAATTGTCTACAGATTTTTTCGTTATTTCCCGATCATGACAATTAAGGAGCACACGGTGGGTGTGACCTGTTGGCAGGGGATGCTCACTCCTCCATGGCACCTGATCCCACCTCTGATGTTTTGGAGGTCCGTGTTTGCTCTGCTCCTATTTTGTATTGTTTAATGGACTTTTGAGCTTGAATACTGTTTGTTATCTACATGTATTTCATGATATACTGTCTAAATTGGATATATTGAAATTCAGGGGACCAACACTTTTTTTTCAATATAAATGAAGTTCAAAATAAGTGATTTTGGCTTTCAAAGATCCCACTTTAAAACATGTAGACCAGAGTTATGGAAAACCTGTCCATCCTGTTGGCAAGGCTAGTACAATTTGAATGGACCATTAACTTGCAAGAAAATATCGGTCCAAATGACTATTTGAAAAAAAAAAAAATTGGGCAGGATGAAAACTTTGAAAAGATTGGGACTGGGGTGCAGTAATGAAGATTACAAAAAATTGTGAATTTCATGGCCCCTGGGGTTCTGGTGTTAAGGTGGGGCTCTATTGATTATATAGTGAAAATGCATTAATTCATTGAAAATCTTCTCTGCTACTGGGTATTAAATAAACTATTTAAGAACATAGTTATGGTGAACATGGCTGCCTTTTCAGAAATTATGAATGTCATGGCCCCAGGGTCAGGGGTTCAGGTGTTAGGGCAGGGCTCTATTGATTATATAGTAAAATTGCATTAATTCTTTGAAAATCTTCTCTGCTCTTGGGTTTTCAATAAACTAACTTAGTGCATAGTTATGATGAGCATGGTTGCCTCTTCCAAAATTGTGAATTTCATGGCCCCTGGGTCAGGGGTTCTGGTGTTTGGATGGGGCTCTATTGATAATATTAAATAAAGCCCCATCCTTACACCAGAACATCTGACCCATTGACCATTAGCTCATTACCCTGGGGCCATGAAATTTGGCAAACAGAGAAAAGTTTTAATAAGCAAAGGTATTTTTACCAGAATTTTGAACACCTGGACCATTTAATCAAGTGTTCTGGTCCTGGCCAGTGCTCTATTAACTTGTATTCATTCTGCTGAGCAAAGTTATTCCCCTTTGCCATTCACCTTTGATAATAAATCACTGTAAATAATATATTTGAATGCCTCATAGAATAAGAGAATTATGCAAGAATATTTATTGTATAATACAAAAAGTACTTTCATAGTTGTAATGATCAGGTAAACATGGAAATAATAGATGAATAAAATTGAGACAAAAATAACTTATCTTTTTTAACTGTTCTTCAAAGATCAAGAGAGGCCAATGTGAGAAGTAATAATATGGGGTAAAAAATAGTTTGTTAATAGTCTGCATGGTAATAGTGATAAATGGGGGACAGATAGATACTAGACCAATTATTTTGTTGATGCAAATCATATTATTTTTCTTGCTTTTGGGCAAAAAGCTTCATTTATCAGTTTATGGATCCTCTAAATTGTTGTATTGTACTCAGGTGACCTTTAAGGCCCTTTGACCTCTTGTTTTAAATTATGAACCTTGGTTTGAGGTGGGCTATAATCGAGGATAAAATTTTACTCAGGTGAGCATTGTGGTCCATGGACTTTCTTTCTGATAATACTGCTGAAATCTTCTTGGAATCTACCTGATTAAAGCAAATTCTGATTTATAAAAGTTGTTCTGTTTAAATGTATCTATGATCACAAGTTAGTTGAATAATACATATAATTCATGGCTTCTGTTTTTAGTGCATTTTTAAATGAGAGGCAGATGGAACAAATTATTTCATGGAAAGTGCACTGCGTAGACCATACAGTTCAAAACGATGGATTCAATTGTGGAGTATTTTGCTTAATGGTAAGAGAAATGCAGAATTTAAATTCCAGAAAATATACTATGCTTCCTTGTTATTTAAGGTTCTATTGGACTTTTGCGAGAAGCGCTGACTTTTACAATCGACGGCTTACTTTTACACCAGGAAAATATATGGAAGCTTTTTTGCGATATAAATATTCAGCATATTTATAGTTAATAAAACCAAAAGAATGGGCCATTTCAAAGCCCATATCACGTTGTCTAGCAAGGGAACGGCAACAATCCTACCCTCAATCCCCTCCCTTCCGACCTTGACCAAATCTCCAAGTTTTCCTTCCAGAATGTTTTTTTCTACTTTATTTGAGTCCTTCAGAAATACTATCTCTCATGAACACGGTTTTTTAAGTTATGTAATTCTACCTCAAATCATCTCTTGTGATGGTAAGTAATGTTAGTGCTCCTAACACCATACCTCTAACCACTATTTAGGATTTCTTATTTATTATCAATTCCGTACCTCCGTACATAGCGCAGGTTTAAATGTCAAAGTAAGTCGTGAACTGTAAAAGTCAGTGCTTCTCGCAAAAGTCCATTAAGAACAGGTGATACGAAGAAAAAAACGAATGCCTGGATTGGTAATAATTTTGGGCCTATTTTTGTTGTATATGATGGAAATAAGAAATTTCTAAGGTACGAAGAAAGTGTAAACTTTCTATGATGTTCAAAATTCTACCTTTCTGCAGCCATCCTTATTAATCCTATTAGTCTATACAATTTTTGTCACTTCAAATCCCATTATAATTGTGAAATTTTGAATGAAAAATTAAAATCTTTCAGTTAAACATGTTTTACTTATATAAACATGACTCAAGTTGTTCAATTTTTAGCTCACCTGAGCTGAAAGCTCAAGTGAGCTTTTCTGATCACCAGTTGTCCATCATCCTTCCGTCTGTCCGTCCGTCTGTAAACTTTTCACATTTTCAACTTCTTCTCAAGAACCGCTGAGACAATTTTAACCAAACTTGGTACAAAGTGTCCTAGGGTGACGGGGAGTGTAAATTGTTAAAATAAAGGGCCAAGTCCCCTTACAAGGAGAGATAATCAAGAAAAGACAAAAATAGGGTGGGGTCATTAAAAAATCTTCTCAAGAACCACTGGGTCAGAAAAGCTGAAACTTATGTGGAAGCATTCTGCGATAGTGTAGATTTTAAATTGTTAAAATCATGACCCCCGGGGGTAGAGCGGGAGCACAATAGGGAATCCAAATTTTACATTGAAATATATAAGAAAAATCTTTAAAAATCTTCTCAAGAACAACTTGGCCAGAAAAACTGAAACTTATATGGAAGCATCCTGGGGTAGTGTAGATTCTAAATTGTTCAAATCATGTTCCCTGGGGGTAGGGCGGAGCCACAATAGGGAATCCAAGTTTTACATTGAAATATATTGGAAAAATCTTTTACAAATCATGACCCCCGGGGGTAGGGCGGGACACAATAGGAAATCCAAGTTTTACATTGAAATATATAAGAAAAATCTTTAAAATTCTTCATTTCAAGAACCACTGGACCAATAAAGCTGAAACTTATTTTGAAGCATCCTGAGGTAGTGTAGATTCTAAATTGTTCAAATCATGACCCCTGGGGGTAGGGCGGGGCCACAATAGGTATATTTAAAGGGGGAAAATCTGGTAAAGAACAGCATGGCTAAAGTTGCTCAGGTGAGCGATGTGGCCCATGGGCCTCTTGTTTAAATAAAAGTTTGTACATGTATCATCCGTCCTTAAGATGAAATAAAATACAAAAACTTTTACTTTAGTACAAAATGGGTGAAAACATAAACACACCCTCTCACTATTTGAATAATTTAAAATGTGTCTGATTTGTCTGCTTTTCATATGCCTGTCTTAATAAACACACCCTCTCACTATTTGAATAATTGAAAATGTGTCTGATTTGTCTGCTTTTCATATGCCTGTCTTAAGACGGGAAGTATAATGTTATTGCATTCGTGTATGTCCATCCGTCTGTTAGCTTTTTCGTGTCTGGCTCATAACTTTAATACTATTAGACATAGAAATATCAAACTTTGTCAGCTGATACTTCTTGGGTACAGTCCATGAAACGTTCTACTTTCCCATTTTTCCGTTCGCTCACCGTTTGTTCACCGTTCGTTCAGCGTGTGTTCACCGTTCACTCTCCGTTCACAGTTTTGCGTTCACCGTTCACAAAGCGTTCAGCGTTCGCTCTTCGTTCGTTCACCTTGCGTTCAGCGTTCACATTGCGTTCAGTCTTTACTGTCATTCGGAACTCCGAAGTGAATGGACTTATCTTTATTTAAGTAAGGATTTACAAATTTAATAATTAACATATCGTGTTGAAAGAAACAATTATTTACAATATTTATTTTTATTATTCTAACTTAGCTGTTAGGTTATTTATTAAATTTATCTGGAAAATAAATGTTGTTATAAGTACATGTATGTAACTATGTAGAACGATGCTGAAAAATTAAATTTAAATATGGGCAATATACAGATGCTTCAAGCAGTGCAACATTTTGTTGTTATGTTAAAAATATTTATTTTTAACACATATTTTTTTTCAAATAATACAGAAATACATATAAGAAATAATTCTGAGGATTATAAACAGTACTGCGGATATCCAGTTGATTAAATATCTTTAGAGCGAATTAAATTGATAGTGTGGTTTGAAATTTTTTTTTTTTTTTTTAAATGTAATACATTATAGAATTTTTTCCTACTTTACATATATAAAGTCTTTAATTAGAGAGAGAGAAATGCCTTTATAACATGATTATCATTAATATAACCAAAGTGATTCTCCAGTAATGATATTTATATGTTTGCCATTCGATATAATTAAGAGTCCCCCCACCCCCTTCCTGTAAATCGGTTACTTAGTTAGTATTTTCGGTATATTTTAATTAACATTTAAATAGAAGTTAATGTGTTTTGTAGCACAAAAAATTCAGTCTCAAAACAAACATGCATCTAAACAAAGTCATTAAACAATAGTAGTTCAAAATATACATGTGCTGGCGGTGATATTTTAAATTGGCAGGGAGTAGGTTTAAAATTCAAGCGGCTTAATCATCCAAGTGTTTATTCCCAATGTATTTTATTCATTTATTTTATTATTTTTTTTTTTTTTAGAAATGTTGGAATTAGATCTAGAAATGATAAGAAAAAATGTTAAAACTATTTAGAAATACTTAACACTTTGCCTTCGGTGTGACGAGACTTTCACACCTGCACAGTGTTGAAAGATTTTGATTGACAGGTCAATCATGTGGACTTCGTGTGAACTTGAAGCAGGAAAATAAAAACCGATTACGACTGTAAAACAAATGGATTTGTTGATAAAAATAGTTTCTTTCTTTGCCTGGTATATTTAGAAAAAAAAAGAATTTTTATTTGATATACATGTAGGTACAAACATTTGAGAAGGGGGGGGGGCTAAAACTGAATCTCTCTCTCTCTCTCTCTCTCATTTGTCTGTTTGATAAAAACTATGACAGCATATTACTTAAGGAATGAATTTAATAGCTACCCATTTTATACGGTATAAACTGGGTTGGGACAGTTTATGCTTTATAAACCGCGAAGTGGTTTATAAAAAAGCGTTAACTGTTCCAACCCAGTTTATACCGTATAAATAGGGTAGCTATTAATTTCATTCCTTATAATTTAATTTTCATTCATTTAGTGTAAGAAAAAAAGATGACTGCCCTTGAAAAGGACTTCAATTTGTACAAAATTTGAATGTAACGTCAGGCGGATCGATACGTTTTTGACGCAAGTCATTGTGACGTAGGCAACCCAATTTATACGATATAATGTAATTTTTTTAACCAATCAAAAATGGCGTTACAACCAGAATTAAATTATTTAAATATCAAGTTGTGAAAATTTAATATATAACAAATAATATGAATGCCTCTTTGTATAATATCCGAGTACAATCACTGCAGGGAAATGCCTACAGATACATGTAGAAGTCTGCTCAATAAATCATCATAAAAAATAAAACTGACTCATAAATATATTATTGCATTAAAGTTTTAAAATACTGGTGTATTTATGCAATACATCTACATAACTTTGTAAAATTTTTTTTTTTTTTTTCTCATTATTTTACACAGAATCGTCTTGGCACGGAAATATGTGTATGGTTGTTACAACCGTTGTAATTCATTCTATAAGTCCGGAGTTTGCTCTTCTAAAATCCATATTATTTGTAATGATTTTACATATCAAATAAGAATAAACATATTTATTTTACAACTAGATTGATTTTATCTTTAATACTACAGCGTTCGGTAACAATTACAATGTTTTACAGCAATAAAAATCGTCTTATTAAAAAGTTTAATTTAAACATCCTACATATGTGCAGATAATATTGTAAGAAACTTAAATTAATAATTTTACTTATTGTGCATGTATCGTCTTTCTTAGGACACTTTTCATTGATTTGTTTATTTATTTATTATTCATTTATTTTTTTAGCACCAGGCATACATACAATAGAATAGTTTCGATGCAAGGAAAAGATCAGAGGCATTCCGAATAAATCGTTCATCTTGCATTCACCGTTCGTTCACCGTTCACTTTGCGTTCGTGTTGCGCTCCGTTCGTATTCTGCGTTCGCTCACCGTTCTCCGTTCACACATCGTTCACCAAGTTGCGTTCAGCATTCACACATCGTTCACTCACCGTTCGCTCTGCGTTGTTCAGCGTCGTTCACCGTTCGTTCAGCGTTCACTCACCGTTCAAGTGGGAAAGTAGAACATTTTAGGGACTGTAGAAGGTGTGTTGTGCATTGAAAGTAGGTTGCTCTGACCTCTACTGTAGATTCCTTTTTTTTTGCGAGTACTTTATATTGCGAAATGGCCCTTAGACATCCAATTGCTAGAACAATAATTTACAAGTAGAGGTTTGATCTTGAGATTTTACATGCATTTCAGCACCATAAAAATAAAAGCGAGTAATTTTATTTTGCGAGTGGTGCTTCTTGCGAAATTATGTGTTAATTAATTCTTCGCATATATATTTGAATTAATTTTATAAATTAATTACATTAATTCTGAGTTCTAAATGAATTTACAGTAAAATAATTAAAACTACTAAGTATTTTTTCACACAAGTGCAATTTTAGTGATTACCACTAAACATGCACATATTTGCATTGTTTTCTAGTACATGTATTTCTTTCATGAGAAGTTTTTGAAACTTGATAGACTACATCTTATGTCGACATTTTATGACATTTCTTAGTAGACTTTCTACAGCTTGAGTATCTTAATTGACATTTTGTCAGTATATACTTCTTTTTATACCCCACGCAACAGTCCTGTTTTCTTGTCAGCGCAACTCCTCATAAACCGCTGCACAGAATTTCGTCAAACTTTGCAGATATTAAGGACACAATGTGTTGATGTGTATATTACCCGGAAATTCTGATTCCTTTATTTTTTCTGGGAATTTCGGCACTTTTAAACTTAGATTTTCGACCATATCTTGAATATAGAGATGAAGAGTTTGTCAGCGCAACTCCTCAAAAAACCGCTGCACAGAATTTCGTCAAACTTTGCAGATATTTAGGACACAATGTGTAGATGTGCAAATAACCAGGAAAATCCGATTCCATTATTTTTGCCTTAAGAGGTTTGCCTATTATTGAAGAAACTTTCCTGCTAGGTAATAAGGAAATCCACTGGAATCAGCTTCTGTAAGGAAATTTTATATGAAATATTTTATGACCTTAAAAGGAAGCATCCTCAGGTAGTGTAGATTCAAATTTGTTCAAATCATGACCCCTGGGGGTAGGGTGGGGCCACAATAGGCGATCAAAGTTTTACATAGGAATATACATGAAAAATCTTTAAAAATCCTCTTCTCAAGAACAGTAAAGCCATGATTGGTCATATTTATTTGGAAGCATCCTCAGGTAGTGTAGATTCAAGTTTGTTCAAATCATTGACCCCCTGGGGTAGGGTGGGGCCACAATGGGCTATCAAAGTTTTACATAGGAATATACAGGAAAAAATCTTTAAAAATTTTCTTTTCAAGAACAGCAAAGCCATTATTAGTCATATTTAAATGGAACCATCCTCAGGTAATGTACATTCAAATTTTGTTTAAAATCATACCCCCATCCCACCCCTGAGAATAGAGGGGCCATAACAGGGGATCATAGTCAAACAAAGGAATATAAATGATATATCAATAAAAATTGTCTTCTTAAGAACAACAAAGCCATTATTTGTCATATTAATTCAAAAGCATCCATATGAATTATAAATTCAAATTAGCTCAAATCAACCCCCCCCCCCCCCCATCTCAAACCACTTTTATATCAACACTTTTCAAGCCTAAACTGCTTTCTGCTTTTTCCTAGCCAGAGTGCTCCGGTGAGCAATGTGGCCCCTGGGCCTCTTGGTGAATTATACTGTGTATATAAAATGCACTGTGCCACTCATTACGTGTTGCATTGTCGAGATTTGGGGGAGCGTGGGGTATGTGAGCTTGCTCACTTTTTCTTTCATTAATAAATCAAATGGCATTCAATTTGATTAAAGTAATTTACATATTTTATTTTAAGTTTGCTGAAAGATATTTAATGCAGCAACCTTTAACTGGAATTGCCTCTTCTGGTCTGATGAAAGAGAGAAGACGCATTGCAGAAAAACTCATGATATATGAAAGTAAGTTTCTTGTATGTTACTAGCAGTTAAAATCTGTATTGGCTTGAACTTTTTAAATCAACAAAACCATAGAAATTATTTTGTTCTACACATGGATGCAGTCTTATGCACATAAACATTTCATCAGAATAAGTTTCATTTATCAGTTTATGGATCCTCTAAATTGTTGTATTATACTCAGGTGACCGTTAAGGCCCCTGGGCCTCTTCTTAAAAAAAATCTCTTGAGATAGAATCAAATCAATCCTCTTATGTAGGAATACAGATGCAAATCACCTTACAGTATGGCTGTGAGAAACCTAGAATTCCATGTTTAATTAACAAATGAATTGTTTGTAATTGTGAGCTTGGAAATAATAGAAAAAAAGTGGACATATTGCTTTCCATTTACGAATTGCATACAAAAAAAATTCTTTTCCGATTTTTGTAGATTTGGGTTTTTTTTTTTTTTTTTTTGAGCATAAAATTCCTGTAGTATTAATTAAGGTACCCTAATAATTTACCTTGTTTTCCTGTAGTCTCACTAAATCTTGCAAGAGCTACTGCGAACTCCTTGGGTATATATAAGCCCTATGTTCGCAAAACTTGCATGGATGATGCATCTAAGGATGCACACTACCAATCTTGCTTCAGATGCTGGATCTAATTACATTTTCAGAATGAATGTCCAGGTTAATGTTTTTGGAGCAGTTTCTTCCTAAAGTTTCTATAAGTGCCCTATGCTAACCAACTTTTCACTGATGATAATTCATTGATGTATACTATCAGAGTTGCTTCAGATGCTGCATTTGTAGAACACCTAAAAATAAAAGGTTCCATCACATTAGTAGGTTTTGAACACATAAGTAGGGGTGACCAGGCTTGCTTTGGATGCTAGGTCTGATCTACATTTTCCAGATGCGTGACCAGGTTAAAGTTTTTGGAGGAACTTCAATCTAAAGTAACTATAAGCACTATGTTAACCAAACTTGCATGGATGATGCATCTAGGGATGTACACTACCAATCTTGCTTCAAATGCTGGATCTGACCTACATTTTCCAGATGAGTAACTAGGTTAATGTTTTTGGAGCAGTTTCTTTCTAAAGTGATTAAGCCCTATAATGCTAACCAACTTTTCACTGATGATGATTCATTGATGCACACTATCAGAGTTGCTTCAGTGCTGCATTTGACATACATTTTCAAAAAAATGACCAAATTAAAGTTTCAAGAGCAGATTCATACCCAAGCAACTATAAAACCTACCTGGACAAATCTTGCATTGATGATGCATTTAGAGATCATGCTCACAGACTTGGTTCAGATGCTGGATATGACCTACATTTTCCTGATGAATGACTGGAATAAAATTTTCTGATGAATGACTGGAATAATTTTTTGACAGGTCCTATGCAAGTAACTTACTTTAAGACCAACCTGAACCAAACTTCCATCTAGGGATGCACACTACTAGATTATTAGTTTAGTGTGTGATTTTGCTGAACTTAAAGGCAACATTCATTGAGATGAGCTATGTAATCTCTAATTACCTTTGTTTGCTAGTATTTGGGCATTGGGCTAGTGTCTTTTGTGCACACTGTTACTCATGTAGCTGTGCATAAAACGTTTTTGATGCAATTGGCATGCTATAGCTGATCTTATTTTTCTGTATCTGCCATTGTGTACTGTATGGGGGATTAATTTCACGGGTTGTAATTTTCACGTTTTTCTCTCTTCTTACACGATCGCGGTTTGTTGAATTCGTGGAATTGGTATATAATAAAAGTTACCTCCCTTGTCTATAGCAACATTAATCATCGTTATATATCCACTTCACGAGCAACAGTGTAGGTTTATATAAAACAGTTAGATTTAATAATAAATTGACGATTAATTAAAACAAGTGCAGTTATTAAAAGTCCTCGACTATAAACTTCGAATGGCCTTCCTATATGCTCTTATGAGGAGTGCATGTAAAACCCCAAGATCTTCTTTCCGAAGGGATAATACATCGCGGCGAAAAACCACTGGATGGTAATAAATGTGTTAATGTATGTCAATGAAATAATATCTTTCCACATCTTCAGCAAGTTCGATAGGTATTTGAATGATTTTTTTTTAAAACCATAATGTCGATAAAAACTAATAGTAGGTAAAAATACACATGGTAACATTAGTTACACACGGGTAATCAAAACCCATGACCCATGTGTTTTGAATGATGAAACGTAGAGTTGGCTATTAAAACAGCTTTTTAACAAATGCAGTTTTTTATTTGTTGATTTGAATTAAAATAAAGCATGATAATTTAAATAATTGAATGACAAGTACTACTCGTAATTACTGAAATGACCATGTACTGCACGTATATATACCTATCGTAGTATATTCTCAAATTTACAAATAAAACATGGAGGTTTATGAAAACTTATTCACTGTTTCTTGAATTCATGGATATATTAACACCGTGAATATAGCGAATATTAACACCGCGATTTATTTTCCCCCTATACAGTATATCCCTAATTTGTATCATTAATCTGTTGTTTTTTTTTTCAGTTTATCAAAAACATGCCTGTCCTTGTTGTGGACATGGAATCTTGATCAGTGATAAAAAGGTGAGATTGTTAGGTGTTTTCACTGTTTATCTGTTTAAAAACTTGCAATCTAATTTTTAAAATTTTGGTCACACTTAGCATTTAGTTCAGTGTCGAAGAAACTATTTCAGATATTTTTATCAAACTTCATATGCTGATAAATATTAATGAGAGCTATTCAATACCACCACATTTTAAGCTAACCTGAGCTGAAAACTCAAGTGAGTATTTCTGATCACCCGTTTTCCATCGTCCATCTGTACATTCTGTAAACTTTCACATTTTCAACTTTGTGGTAAGAATCACTGGGCCAATTTTAACCAAACTTGGTACAAAGTATCCTTTAGAGAAGAGGAGTTTAAGTTATTAAAATGAAGGGCCAAGCCCCCTTCCAAGGGTAATCTTCTAGAACCACTGGACCAGTAAAGCTAAAACCAACGTGGAAGCTTCCTTAGGTAGTGAAATTTCTAAATTGTTCAAATCATGACCGCCGAGATAGGGCGGGGCCACAATAGGGAATCAAAGTTTTATATTGAAAAATAAAAAATAAACAAAAATAAATTTTCTCAAGAACCACTTGGCCAGTCAAGCTGATACTTACGTGGAAGTTTCCTGAGGTAGAGTAGATTCTAAGTGGTTCAAATCATGGCCCTCAGGGTAGGATGAGGCCACAATAGGGAATCAAAGTATTATGAGAGGAAAAATTTGATGAAAAACAGCAGGGCCAAAAGGACTCAGCTGAGTGTTTTGGTCCATGGGCCTCTTGTTTGAACTTTACATTTCCTTTGACCTTGACCTCACTTTTTAAAGAGCCAAAGGCTCAAGTGAACTTTTCTTATCAAAGATTTTCCAGCTTCCATTTGTTATCCATCATCTGTTGTCTGTAAAGTTTTCAACTTCTCAAGAACCACAACAAGGGGTCAAAGTTTACCATAGGAATATATACAGGAAATATCTTAAAAATTTTCTTCTCAAGAACAGCTAAGCCATTATTAGTCATATCAAAATAGAAGTATCCTCAGGTAGTGTAGATTCAAGTTTGTTCAAATCAAGACCTCTGGAGGTAGGCGGGGCCACAGTAGTGGATCAAAGTTTTACATAGGAATATATAGGTGTAATGGTTAAGGGGCATTTGCATAAAATGCATTGAAGACTTCAAATTGTGGAATGACTTGAAAACCTTTTGAATGGACTAATCAAAGGGTATATAAGGCAAAACATTTGGAAAGTCGGGCATTTAGAAGCTAGCTGAAGAAGTGGAAGTTGAATCAGCAATAAAGAAGTTAAGAGTAAGAGCAAAATAAAAGTATAAAAGTTATAAGCACCAGTGGCAAGTATCCAAGGGAATTGATTTAAGTTCTGGGTGTAGTAAATCTGAATAAGGTTGATACATCCGGTTCAGAAGGAACCTAGGGGAGAAAAACAGTTTAAGTAGTACCTTACCCACTTCCCATCTCTAGATAAGAGAAAAATTTAAGTACTATGTGATATATCCTCAGACAGAGCTGTCTTAATAATCATTCCAGTCATTAACTCAGAGTAAAAGGAAAACCTATATATCCCTTGTAGGAACCTGATCATACATTGTTACATAGGAAATATCTTTAAAAATCTTCTTCTCAAGAACAACAAAGCCATTATTAGTCTTATTTATACAGAGGCAAACTTAGGTATTGTAGAATCAAGTTTGTTCAAATTATGACCCCTAGGGGTTGGGGGGGGGGGCACAACATGGGATCAAAGCTATATAGGAATCATTTTGAAAAAAATCTTCTGCTCAAGAACATCAAAACCTTGAGATTAGTCCTATTATTATAGTAGCATCCTCAGGTAGTGTAGATTCAAATTTGTTCAAATTTAGGGTGGATAGGGTTGGGCCACATGAACGATCAGTTTTTCACAGGAATACATAGGGAAAAAAATCTTTAAAATTTTTCTGCTGAAGAACGGGAAAGCCATGATTAGTAATATTAATTTGGAAGCATCTAGAGGAAGTGTTAACCCCTCTCCCCCCAGTTAACATTTCAATACTGAACTAATTTCTGCTTCTTCCAAGCCATTGTGCCCAGCCGAGCAATGTGGCCCATGGGCCTCTTGTTAAAATAAGTTTTAAGCTAAGTTTAAAGGAAACTAATTTTTTTACTGATGGAATTATACTTCGTCAACATTTTACTGTCATGGTAGCTCAATCGGTAGAGTGCTTGCTCCATGATCGGAAGGTCGTGTGTTTGAATCATGGCTGCGACTGACCTAAGTTGATAAAAAATAGGTAGCAACTGTTCCTTCGCCAAGCCCTTAGCACTTTGAAGTGAAAGTTGCGGGTCCTTGGGATGAGACCTTAAAAACTGAGCCCATGTCACGGAAGGTGTTGGCACAATAAAGAACCGTCAATGCTCAATGGCCCCGAGTGCCAAGTAAAGGTCTAAATTTGAAGCCCTTCACCGGTATATATAAGTGAAAAATTCTCGAATGGGACGTAAAACAACACACAATCAATCGTCAACATTTTTTACCTTGACCTTGACTTCAAAAATGTCAAAGAAACTATTCAAGACATTTTTATATAAGAGCTATTCAATGGCATCAACATTTTGGATCCTTGAATTTGGCTTCAAGTTAATTTGTAGCAATTTACCCATATCACCTGCATATAAGGTTTATGTTTCTCAGTTGATTCAATGCACAAGAGCATGCTCAAGATACAAACAATTTCTAAAATGAGGCAAGCATTTGACAAACAAGTTAATGAAACAAAATTATGAACAGAATCGTTTAAAGTCATCATTTCTAAAATAAAAATTTCTTAATCATCACAAAGAGCACATGGTGTGGGACTAGTTGACAGGGGATGCTTACTCATGGATGGCACCTAATTCCACCTCTGATGTTTTAGAAGTCCATGTTTGCTCTGCTCCCTATTTATTTGTTTCAATGGAATTTTGAGCTTGATTACTATTCTTTACCTCCATATTTCATTCTTAGAAGTTCTAAATTTGACACCATGATAGTTCCTGGTAATTGTGAATCTTCATGCTGGCAAAACACATTGGGCATAGATGATGTCATTGCAGAATTGAAGTTTTTTGCTAAAAAAATATTTTTAAAAAATGGGATTGGATTGATATGTTTGAAAGTTTAGAAATTCTTTTACAGATTTCTTGCATTTCTTGTGGGAGAAACTTCCATAAAAAGAGCTTTTGTGTGGGAGAGGAGTATATCAACGATAATGTTGTGAACATTCTCTGCAAGGGCTGCAATCAAGAAATGCTGGTAATTAAAATAAAAAGTATTGAATCGATAGAAGAAGGTGGTTAAATGAGCTGTTTAGTTCCTAGGCCAAACAAAGATGGTCTTCCTCAATGAGAGAAATATTACTTTGGCTTGCATCTCTGCCAAACCATCTTCCTGTTTGTCACTTAATTCAAATCCTTACCTTAATAAGTTTGTTGTGATTCTGTCTATTAAACGGGCTTGGACACAGATTTGAAGTTAATATTTTCTCAAATTTTCTGTATGATATCATGACTTATATGTTGCTAGAGCATTTCACAAGAAAAAGTGTGTTGGAAAACTTCCTTTACCCGGAATTTATTAAAACTACGAATTTTGGGACACGTTTGATTGACATATCCTTACACACTTTCACAAAGTAAACCTTATCCTTAATACTTAAGAAAAGTAGAAATTTTGTTATGTATTTATGAAAAATATTAAAACTATAATCCAGAAAATTCAGAATAAGAAATGTGAGAAAGCAAAAACCAACTCACTAGTATTGCCAGTCCATGCTCAGTAATGTGTGAAGAGTTTAACAAATTGAACACACCCGGTGAAATGTAAACATTAACAATAACAGTGCTCATGCCCTGTTTACAAAAGCAGATGTTTGATGTGATGTAAAGAAGAATGTTGTTGTCATTGAATTCTAAGAATATAATATTCATGTTAGTTCCATTCATTTAACTGGTTTTAATTTTTTGAAGAAGCATAGAAATTTGAAATGTAAACAATACAACTGTGTCCCCTTTAAAATATCAAATCCAAAAGTCAAGGTCATGTAGGTATTTATATAGTGATATCATGTCCAGGCTCTAACTCTTAATTTAAATTTATTCTATCTCTAGTCTTTTTTAAAGATGATCTGCAGGAACTATTTGTATCTTGTTTATAATGCTCATATCAGGTCATGCTCACAAAGAAACGAGAAAGTAAGATAGAGTCTATGCAATACCATTGGATCATTCAAAGAAATGACTTAAAATTTGTTCATGATGATAATTGTTCTGAGCCAATGTTTGTCTTTCATGGCTTTCAATTTATCAAGTTGTTTGTCTGTTGTTTACCTGATGACTTTATTCTCTCTGGAATCAGGATAATTTTTCACCAATTATTTGGATAAAGGGGAATCAAAG